GTACACACCTGTGTGTTTCTTGTACACGAATGTGTGTGTTCCTAGTATACATATGTGTGTGTTCCTGACACACGCATGTGTTTTTTATATCGCACAAGTGCGTGTTCCTGATACACACATGTGTGTGTTCTTTGTACACACATGTGTGTGTTCTTTGTACACACATGTGTGTGTTCTTTGTACACACATGTGTGTGTTCCTTGTGCAAACATGCGTGTGTTCCTTGTACACACATGTGCGTGTTCCGTGTACAAACATGTGTGTGTTCCTTGTAAAAACATTTGTGTGTTCCGCACACATGTGTGTGTTCCCTGTGCAACCATGTGTGTGTTCCTTGTACACACCTGTGTGTTCCTGACACACGCATGTGTTTTTTATATCGCACAAGTGCGTGTTCCTGATACACACATGTATGTGTTCTTTGTACACACATGTGTGTGTTCTTTGTACACGCATGTGTGTGTTCTTTGTACACACATGTGTGTGTTCCTTGTGCAAACATGTGTGTGTTCCTTGTACACACATGTGCGTGTTCCGTGTACACACATGTGTGTGTTCCTTGTAAAAACATTTGTGTGTTCCGCACACACATGTGTGTGTTCCTTGTGCAGCCATGTGTGTGTTTCTTGTATACACATGTTATGTTCCGTGTACACACATGTGTGTGTTCCTTGTACACACGTGTGTGTTCCTTGTACACACATGTGTGTGTTCCTTGTACACACATGTGTGTGTTCCGTGCACACACATGTGTGTGTTCCTTGTACACACCTGTGTGTTTTTTGTACACGAATGTGTGTGTGTTCCTAGTATACATATGTGTGTGTTCCTGACACACGCATGTGTTTTTTATATCGCAAAAGAGCGTGTTCCTGATACACACATGTGTGTGTTCTTTGTACACACATGTGTGTTCTTTGTACACACATGTGTGTGTTCCTTGTACACACATGTGTGTGTTCCTTGTACACACATGTGTGTGTTCCGTGTACACACATGTGTGTGTTCCTTGTACACACCTGTGTGTTTCTTGTACACGAATGTGTATGTTCCTGACACACGCATGTGTTTTTTATATCGCACAAGTGCGTGTTCTTGATACACACATGTGTGTGTTCTTTGTACACACATGTGTGTGTTCTTTGTACACACATGTGTGTGTTCTTTGTACGCACATGTGTGTTTCTCGTACACACATGTGTGTTCCGTGTACACACATGTGTGTGTTCCTTGTACACATATGTCTGTTTTTATTACACACAAGTGCGTGTTCCTGATACACTGTGTGTGTTTTTTACACATGGGTGTGTTCCTGGTGCGCACATGTGTGTGGTCCTTGTACAGACATGTATGTGTTCCTGGTACACATATGTATATGTTCCTGGCACGCGCATGTCTGTGTGTTTCTCGCACATACGCGCATGTTTTTTGTTACACACGTGTATGTAAATGTTTTACACAAATGTCTTTGGGTTACCGACATGTGTGTGTGCCCTTGCTACACACATGTGCATGGTCCTGATACACACATGTGTGTGTTCCTTACACACATGTGTGTGTTCCTTACACACACATGTGTGTGTTCCTTGCACACGCATGTATGGGTTCCTTGTACACACATGTGTGTTTTCCTTGTACACACATGTGTGTGTTCCGTGTACGCAGATGAGTGCCTTTGCGACACAGATGTGTGTGTTTCTAGTACACACAGGTGCGTGTGTTGCTACCTGCTACCACCCACATGTTTGCTACACGAGCGTGTGTGCACTTGTTATGTTCATGTTTATGTTTGCTAAGCACGCATGTGTGCCTTTCTTATGCACATGTCTGTGATCTTGGTGCACACATGTCACACCTGCATGTGTTCCTGGCACACCCTGGCACACACACACACACATTCGTGTGTTCATGGCACAGACACGTGTGTTTTGTTACACGTGTGTGTGTAATAGTCTTGCACATGTTTGTTTCAATTACACACATAGGTTACACACATGTGTGCGCGTGGTCTCGGTGCAGACGCAAGGCCACTGCCGGAAGTACAGGGTCCATGTTGGCACACATGGGCTGGGAAGTTGTTGCAGGAGTAGCTCTCAATTTTTGTTTATCACGCTCACAGGCTCAGAAGCAACATGCAGACGGCGCATGCGAAAAATATAGTTACATGTTCATTGGAATTGGCAATTGCTGAAAGGCACGAGTTGCTTTGGTACGCTGCTAGGTTAACCAATGCAAAGTAGCCTGCATTTTTCTACTCGCTCGTAGCTTTGATTTGCCCATGCCACCCCAGAAGCAGCATGGCAAAGACGCTTTAGATGGCGTGTCCGTGCTAGATCCTTGGCACACCAAAGGGGTTCATATTGAGATGGTTGCCGCTGCAGAGGAGTTGGCCGCCCGACACGAATATGGCTTCAAGTCCAACCCTCACCAGTGGTCATTGGCCCTTTTCTTTCTCTATAGACACCTCCTGCCAGCCACGCTTCCTCATTTGGGCTACATGTTTATTTATTTGCTGGCGGCATACATTTGTTGCCGTCGAAGCCAGTTGTCATCGGCGCCGGAGTTGATCCAAAGAATTGCGACCTCGGAGAACTTTTTGTTCAAAGAGAATTGGTCCATGGCCCATGTCACAAAGATTCTTCGCTTGCACACGGTGGATAAAGAAGACTGCCCCTTCACTCGGCAAATTGGGCTTTTGATCGCGGCAATGCGTGCAGCTTGGGAAGGTAGTCATTTTGGCATGGCCGGGCTGATTTTAAACGTTGTGCTGGCGCTTCGGAGCTTTGGCGGCAAGGATTAAGTTTTTATCGCGCAAGGTAAGTATGACTGCACACTTCAGTCCTCATGGCCGTGTTTAAGTTTAGGTCATATCTTCTCGCGGAGTTTTTCTCATCAGTGGACAACCTGCGCCTGGTCGAGTCGCCTGGTCAGCTCATGACGAAGCTGGTGGAGCTTTCAGAACGCAAGCGAACCAAATGCTTGCCTTCTCCGTTCCTTGTCTTGGTTCCTTTGTTTTGCTTGAACAATTGCTTTTAGCTTTTGTGAGCACGGCGTGCTGGCAGTGCTGGCAGCTTGGTAAGCTTGTTGGCATAACATGTTTAGACTGACCTGGAAAGGGTGCGTGCGATTTTTGTTTGAAATTGGCAAGGTATGCAAAGTACAATGACGGCAGGGCCTCACTTACAACACGGAATGGGGTAGCCTTGCGAAGTATGTCGACAAACACAAAGGTACCTCCTTCTGCCTGGATTTTGTCCATTTGCAGCAAAGCGATCTTGGGCTGGGACGCTTGGGCTTCTTAGATTTCTTATGGCAAGTTTGCTTTGATTGCGCTGGCGGTCAAAAGTCTTGTTAGTTTCGGACATGAAACCTTTGTGGCAAGGACGCGGTGGCCGAGCGCTTTGCGTGCCCGAGCATGAAGTCACTGAAGTTTTTGCCGAGTAAGTTGATTACGTGGCCTGGGATCTCGGACCTTGAGCTGAGTCACACGCAAGATATCTTGCGTGTGTGCGGCGTTCTGTGCGATCAAGAGCCTTTGGCCCAGGTCACAGGCGGGCCTAATGGAGAATCCTTTTTGGACCTGCTGTGTCTCGATTTCCAGAAGAAAAAGCGCAAAGCGCGGATCAGTTACGAAGATGCTGCAGAGCTGGTTTCTTCAGTGCTGGGAGAGCACATCTCCGGGGCCTTGGTTGAGGCAAATGCTTGCAAATTATTGCAAGTGTTGCCATCTTATCTGAACGGGCGAGATTTTGGCAGATCCCGGGGAGACAAGGTTCCCAATTGTAAGGTGTCTTCTTTTGGCCGAAAGCTCATGCAAGCAAGGCGAGCAATGAAATGACAACTTTTACTTAATGTGCCATGGACCGACATTTGCGTTGCCGAGTCCACTGTCTAGTAGTAATTCAGCACGTGCTCTTATTGCATTGCATCAAGAAAACCACCAGCTTGCAAGCGCAGCCAAGTGTGCGTTGGACATGTGACTCACGTGGGTTGCAGTAGTAGAGGCAGATGTCAGGGCAGTGGCTGCGTCAGGTCGTTTTTCCATGCAACAGCACCATGAAAGCCGCTTGCTTGCCTGCGCGCCTGGTCATGACCTTGGAACTGTCATGTCTTCCTATGCCAAGTCGAGCGCTGTTCGGCGTCTGAAGCCATGTGCGCATTAGAGCAGCGAGCATCATGCAACATTTCTGCAAGGCCACAGATACTACATCCCAGGACAGCAGACCACAAGTATAGGCACCCATACTGATAGGTTGTAGCCAATGACAAACTTGGGAGAACGCTGGGGTCCAGAGCACACAGTCTCTTGCTGCACGCTCCATGTTCCTCTCCTTTGCTGCTCCGGACGAGGCTGCCAGGAATGAGGAGCTTTGGAAGAAGCACGGCGCTTATTGGCAGAAGCGATGCACATACCAGGTGGAGAATGCGGTGCACACATGGCTGCAGCGCAGCCCAGGAGACCAGCCATTCGGCTTGGGCTGCTCCATATGCGCAGCGTATGCCACAGAGGTGCCTGCGAGTCTCAGAGATTCACCTTACACTCGGTTCACCAAAGGCAGCAGGGGGAATCTTCAACTTGAAGACTTGCTGAGGCACGGTGGCCTGGCGAGGAAGAGCAAACAGAAATCAAAGTATCACCAGTCAGCTCTTGAATGGCACCTGCGAAAATTGGATGGCGGTGCAAGCCACATGCTCCAGGAGGACGGGCCGCTCACTGCGGCCCAAGTGCTGATTGCTCTGGAGGTGCTCCATAGGGCTTGGAATTTGAAAAGCGGTGCATTTCAATGCACGCGGCAGCTCCGCAGGTTTGCCCTCTTGCACGCAGCACCCGTAAAACACATGGCAAGATCACGCAGGCTTTTTCACAGCTGCTTTGGGAAGATGATCGGAGATGCCTCCTCAACGGCTTGCTTGCTGCGGGGCTGGTGCAGGATGCCAGGGGCTCGTCAGAGTTGCTGAAAATTCGGCTAGTCACGTCCACCTTCGAAGTCAGGACTGCCATGGTGGCACTCAGCGACACCGAGGGCAAGAAGTCTGGGCTGGAGAAAGCGAAGATCCTGGCAAAGGCTCTTGATGACTTTGCTGGAGGCAGCGAGGAAGTCAAGAACATCCTCAAGAGCAGAATAGTTTCCTTCACCAGCGACGGAGAGAGGGCAGAACCTCTCGGGGCACGCCTTGCAAAAGAGCAAGGCACTCTTCCAGGCCTGCTTGCCTGTATGCGATGTCGGGTTCATGCACTTGTTCGCAGCCTCGAGAATGCTTTGGCATCTGACAGCAGGGTGGAACGATTGATCTCAAGCCTGATCACAGGGTATTCAGGTGGACACGGAGAACCTGGTGGCTTCGGTCGGGCGATGAAGAACTCTCCTCGGTTAGCTTGCAAGCTGCGTGAGCAACAAGTGGCGGCGCTGCACCAACTGGACGGCGCCATGAGCAAGCTCACTTCTTTTCGGTTCTGCCCACAGCGCTTCAACACCATCATGGAGGTCTCTGAGATGATAGTCCTTAACGTTCAAGCTATTTTTCAGCTCTTGGTGGAATTGAGGGCAAGTGGGGATCAAGTTGCGCAATGGGCGCAGCGCTTGCTTTCGGAGACATTTACTTCGACTCCTGGCGGCGTTCAGGAGGGTTTTAACCTCAAAACAGCACAGACACTTTTTTGCTTCCAAGTAAGGCCTGTTAGGTGGGTTGGCGCATTGTTTCCGCAGATCCAAAAACCCCTGGCCAGGCTTTGGGTGGTTTTTCCTTTTCGAGGTTTCCAAAAGGAAAAACCACCCAAAGTGGTTGGCTGCCAGACAGGACCCATGGCCAGGACGCGTTGTTATTCGGAAGGTGCCACTAAGGAACAGCATTTTTGCTACCAGACGATGCCTGGGATTTCCTCAGTTTTTTCAAATTTGCTGCCAGCGCTTAGCCAGTGCTTGGCTTTGATGCGCAATGTTTGTGTGAAGGAAGCCCTCGGGGCCTTGGGGCAGGCTTCCTCGCGCAAAGTGCCAAAGGGAAACCCATTGAATGACACCTGTTGAGCCACTGCTGCTGTCAGTTGAACCGCTGCTGTGCATCCCGCGTCCCACGTGCCGAGGAAGAACCTGCTGCTCCTGGCGCTTGTCACTGAGCTCTCGTCCGCTGCAGTGAGGTTTGCCCACAAGTTCGATGGCGTCAAGGAGCCAACCCATCGGTCTTCTCGACTTGCGCGAACAGGTGGATGGCTGGCTCTGTTCAAGCAGGAGGTAAACAAGCTGTTCTCTTTTCGGGATGATGCCGGCAGTTTGCAGGAGCCCTTGGTCCTGGCTGCGGCCTATGATGCTGGGTATGTGCAGCTGCTACAAAAACAATGGAATTTCTTGAGCACATCCTCCTTGATTTCCTCCACCGGCGAGCTTCTCCACCACAAGCAAGGCACTGGCAGCACTGCTCGTCTCAGGAGCTTTGTCTCGGCCGAGATCGGCACGATCGCCAACATTGCTAATGTCCTGGTGCAGGCCATCGAGACGGAATGTGACACGCCAATCCAATGTGCACTGGCGCCCTTCGACATTGCTCACTGGACAGCGGCTCGTTCAGATGATGCTCTGCTCTGACCTTAGTTCCGGCAACTGATTGTCAGAACACGTTCTGGAAACTCGGGCAGCGCCCAAGGCCTGATGTTATGGGGCCGCTGGCTTCAGCATTGGGTCTGGAGGCCGTGCTTTTCAATCGCGAGGGCTTGCGCAATTCTTCCGGCGTGTTGTCAGGTGGATAAAGTAGTCTCTCAGTTCAAGCTTCTCCGGCCGACAGCCGTGCAAATCATGCAGTGGCAACCTTAGTGAGTGTTTGTGCACACGCACACCTTTGTGACGCTGCGGTGCAAGGTCAGGGGCCCACGACTTGGATAATGCTTGGGGCCAGGCAATGGCCCACTGGTCGGCCAAACGGTTGCCGGAAGTAGCCCGGTGTGCCAGGACCTGAGGAGACAGGGAAAAAAGTGTAGCAGGCTGCTTGCCATCCAAATAAGGTGTCATTTATGCTTACATGCTGGACGTCTTCGTCAGCAGTGGAGCAGGAGTTCAGCTACTTGCAGATGTACGCCAGCGACAGAAAACAGCGGACCAAACATCATCGCCTTGAGCAACTCGGTTGCACGGGCGTGCCTTGTGCAGAGTGCTAAGCAGGAGCAACGCGTTGCTTGCAGATGCTGCGCATGCCAAGGGCCTTGATGAAGGTCAGGCTGGACGGGCCGCCACCAGCTTCGGTGGTGAAGAAGACCGGGAGCATGGGCTTCACCCCAGAGCCCACATGCACTCGCATCATGCAAAGGTACAAGGAATTGTTCGGCTGCAAAAACAATGCTGTCAAGCAGAGTTTGCCTCGGAGATGCGTGCCAACAGTTTCCAGCAAGCCCAGCTTGTCGTCGCTCAAAAGAAAGCGGCATGAGCAGCTGGACTCTTTGCAGCCAGTTGCTGGCCAAGGTGACCTGGAGAATCTGGAGAGCACTGCAGCTGAGGCCGCGCGCTCCCGGCAGACAAAGAAGCAGCTGGATATGGCGGCCCAACTTCAGAAACACAGCCGTGCCATAGCGCGTCAGGCTGAAGCTGATGCTTTGCCGCCTGGCCAAGGTCCCAACGCGGCAAAGCTTCGCCATCATTTGCGGGAGGCTGAGAAAACTGCAGCCCGACTGAAGGGTGTTCAGCAAAAGACTCTGGCACTATGCGCGCAGGAAGCGCCCTTGCCGCATGGCACTTTGATTATTGCAGGCTGTTCAGGTTACCCCCAGGATCTTGCGCAACTTGGCGCAGAGGTGCGGGCCTGGCCGTCATCTCGGCGAGAGCGCGTTGTGCTCTGCAAAGAAGCGCTGGCGTCAGCCAGTGTTGCTTGGTTGTCTCTCAGCGCGGAGTCAGAGGAAATGTTTTTTTTCAGCCCTGAGAAGGACACGTTTGCAGGCTGCGCCCGCTTGATTGGAGGGGGAGTCGTAGGGCCGGAGTGGCTAGCAAGGACACTGCAGGAAAGACGCCTCATCAAACCTGCAGTGTCGCTTGAGCGGGGCCTGTTGGAGAAATACGAGGTGTGCTTGCACAAAGGCATTGCGGAAGAGTCTGTGCCAATTGCGATCCAAGCTGCGAGGGAAGCCTGTGTCTTGCACTGGGTCGTGCGGGAGAAATGGCGGCAAATGCCTGCGCCCCAGAGCCGTTTTGATCGCCGTGAGCACGAAGCCTTTAGAGGTGAGGGCCCCCACGAACTAAGGACATGCAAAACAGGTTACGTGCTCATGTCAGAGGATGACATCAAGCGGAAAAAGGTCAAGATGCGTCGCCACATGGGCATTCTCGTCACTACCGCTAAGTTTTTGGCAGCATGCTCGGGGCTCATTGTTTCAGACCTCGGCGGTTGCGTGAAAGAGACGCCAAGGCACAGCCTGGAAGTGACAAGTCAGCGGGCCTGAGGTGGGAGCGCTGGGCGCTGCTTCTGTTCGGCATGTGTCCACCAGCGTTGACGTTGGGAAGTCAACGCTGCCGGGGGTTGTTTTAGATGCTGCTGCGGCAGCTGCCTGCCAGCGCTACATAGCAAATATCTGCCCAGCAAGGAAAACGCAAGGCAGGCAGCGCTGACTTCCAGCAGCCTGCGCGGCCACAGCGCTTGTTTGTAGATCTTGTTGCCAGCGTTTGCTGGCGGGAAGGCGGGGGGTGGGGGTAGCCATTTTTTACAGCCTGCAGCTGGGCATGGCTACAGCAATCACGAGCTGCACGGGGTCTGGCTGCGAGAAAAAAGCATGCCCGAGTCACGTGGAAGTTGCACTGCTGAGCATGTTTGGCGGCTAGACAGCGCACTAAAGTCGGAATGCAAGCAGCATTTGTTGTGGCTCACACAGCTGATCTGTCGTCATGCCACCGGCAAAGAAAGCCAAATCATCGCCATCGAAGCCAGCCCATGTGGCTGCCAATGTGGGCCGAGTCAACCACCCAACCGATACTTTCCTGCAAGAGAGGGTGCGTACGTTGACCGACAGTTGAGTCAGCCAACCAAAACGTTTGTCTGACACCTTGCCGCTTGCTCAGATTGAGAAGATGGATAAGATTCACGAGACTTTGCGGGGAGAGCTCGCAAAGAATGCGGGGCAGGAACCTCTGTCTTGGGGAGGGAAGCTTGGCGGCTGCTTAATGTCTGGCTGAGATTGGAAATTGCTGCGTGCTCGGCTGCGCGCCAAGGATCTCTGAGCTGGACCCAGATGCCTTCAAGAGTTGCATGAAGCAAGCTGCGCAGTGCGAGCAGACAGTCACCAGAAGTCATTTGCCTCTGTACCAGGGCTGCAAGTTGTTCTTTCGTGCTTTCCTGGAACCACTTGCAGCTTTTGTCGCACCGTGTTTCTCAGGATTGCTTTGGCGCACAAAACAGTGGTGCCATGCTGGGGCAACGTGGAGCGTGCCTGGGTGGCAATTGTTGTGAAGGACTGGTCGGGTTCTAACTCTGCGCGTAAGGCCTGGCCAAACAATTCTGGCACAATGGCACTCGCTGGTCGGCGAAGCAGTGGAGCTTGTCCATTCCAGTTCGGGCCACTTCGGAAGTCACCCTGCCATGCAAAGGGTACTTTGACATCATGGGGCGCCCAGACAAAGATTTAAGCAGCCCTCCAACAACATGTAGTAAGTCGGGCTTGCGCCTTGGCTTCTCAGGTTGGATGCATATCTCATGTCCTTTGACCTGGCTTGGGCGAAAGCCCTTGACGCAGGGGACCAGGATGCGCTGCGGGAATTCCGCAAAGCAGCGCGCACAGTTAAAGTCCAGTTCCAGTTGATCCATGAGTCTTTGGCCGTGGAGAAGAAGAAGTGGGAGCGGGGCTTTTTTGTGTTGGTAGTTTTCGGAATGCTTGCGTGGCTCTGTGTGCTGATCCAAACTTCAGTGGTCATCATCTTTGGTTGCCCTGTCGTGCAGGAAATGATTGCAAAGCAAGAATCGGCCGCAGAGAATGAAACGATGACCGGCTGGAAATTGGTTCTGGGGGTCGTGGAAGTGAGGGGCATGCTCAAGGCCATGGGGCACGTCTTTCCCGGCTGCAAGACAACAGAGGAGCCAGCAAATGTTTCGGCCTTCATGCAGTCTGCGCAGATGCAAAACATGAGCCCCAAAATCGTGGCACAGAGACTGCTACTTGGCAGCAGGCAGACAGAGTTTATAAATCTCCGTGGGGTGAACGCCAGCCTGGCAGCCGCAGTGATTGCCACTAAGGAAAGTTTACAACAGGTTCACTGCCAAATCGCAGTCGATCTTGGACCAGCTGGACAGCATCATGGGACCGACGAAGCACCCTTACTCGATGATCTCTAGCTTAGAGTTGCTGGCAAATAAGACTGCTTGTAAGCAAACGCACGTGGCAAATGCTCTTCTGGAGTGGGTCCTGGAAGGTTACTTGCTGAGCGCCCCTACGGCAGTGGGTTTTTTGTTCGCATGGTTCTCATAATCCATGCCAGCTGGGGACCTGGCGGCCGAGGTGTGAAGTCCCGAATTTCCCGAATGGCTGCTGAAGAAGAGCGCAAGGAGTCCCAAGCCGATGTGATTGGCCGGGAGTTGCTGAAAAAAAGGATTGTCTCCTTCTTGTCCCAGAAGTTCAAAATGCCCGACCAAAAGGACAAACAGTGGCCAAGCTGCAAGAAAGAGAGGGGATCTCCATAAGTATTGCGGCTGCCCTTCTTCCAAGGTACGCTGAAGGCAAGCGACCCTCCGAGGTCCTCAGTCGCATCTTCTCCACATACCAGAGCTTCGAGGAGAGTGGCTTGAATTCGTTCTATGGCGGCGAGGAGACAGGCAACAACTTGTTTTGGGTGGCTGACTTGCCAGAGATCCAGCAGCAGGTGTTAGGCTTCATGGCAAGCATGATGTCTTTCAACCCTGCTATCTCCACCGAGCTGGATGCAGCGGTGCGGTCAGACTACTTGATCCAGGCCGAGGCGGCGCTGGCGCGGCCGGGCTTCAGGGACAAATCCTTGTTCGACTTGGCCCAAGCTAGCGAGGCCCTCACTGAGGCTCTCGCGCCTTGCCCGGAAACTCCTGCTTGCATTCAACCGGGCCCAGAGGAGAAACCAGATGGGCAGCCTGTGCCTGAGCCGGAGCAAACTGCTGAAGCAAATTGGGTGCCGGATGAGCCAGAAGCTACCAGTGCCCACCCCCCTGTGGAAAGCTTTTTCCCTCACTTGCTGCTGTCCCCTTTGCAGAAGGATGTGCTCCAGCGCGTGAGTTTTGAAAAGCTTCAGCAGGCGGTGGAGCATGCAAATTTGCGTGCGGCCAAGAATGTGACAATTATCGTGGGCCCTCCGTATGTCGCAGATTTTGCAGGTGCTCATATGGATGCCACAGACCCTCGCGTGCACTTGCACATATGGGACCCGAAGTCTCATTTGAGCAACCCGTCCCAGCTGGCTCACAAGTTCCCCTACCGCTTCTTGCCGCCAGTGGACTTGAGCTATGCAAAAAAGTGCATGGGCGCCATTTTTGCAGAGCAAGATGGCGAACGGATCTTCCGAAGCTCAGACGCAAGCTTGTGGTTTGATGCCAGGGTTACCACAGCCAAGCACGAGCTGCCAAAGGCCTTGGCGAAGGAGCTCAAAGCTTTGCCCAAAGATCTCGTGCCAGCCCGCCCCTACGTGGAGTTCGAATTCTTTTACCACAACCGGGAACACCAAGTAGGACACGCCAAGCCTGCTCACTCCAGGAGCACGGTTCACGCATGCTTGCCTAGCCACACTGAGCTCGCCTACGGCGTGCTAGGCAAGTCCTTTTCCGTTCCCTTGAAGGAGCGGAAATGGATCGATGTTCCAGGGACCAACCGCAGCCGAGGCTGGTCTGCCAATTCCTTGCTGGACGAGAAGGACTTGATCCATGTGAGCTATGAAGTGCAGCAGAAGCTTCACTCTTTGAGCTCAGCGCAGAAGACAGTGGAGCAACAGCTGTTGGAATCTGAAGACCAGGAGCAGAAGGCAGGCGCCGAAGACCAGAAGACCATCCCCCCAGACGCCATGTCCATGCTTTGGCCTTGGCAGGTTGGCGAGGCTTTCTGGAAGGAGCTGTACGAAAGCTTGACAGCAAACCCGTGCAAGGACTTGCTTGTGATGACCGGGACCCCCTCCGCGCCAGGTGCGCTGGCAGCAGCGCGGCTGGGCTGTGGCTATGTAGGATGGGTAGCCAGCTCCTTGCACAAGTCGGTGATCATGGAGACCGCTGTGTTGCATATCACTTGTGACTGCTTGTTGGGCAACCGTGTGGACTGGGGCAGACGCTTCCTCAGCCGCGCAGCATCTCTGAATGGCACGGAGGCTGTTCCAGAAACCCAGGTTGGCGGAGGCCTGCAAGGCGCTGAATCCCAGGCCCAAGATGAGGCAGCCACCCCGCGGAAGGAGAACAAGCAGGCGGAGGATGGCGGCTGTGAGTCCTCCTCGAGCTCGGATTCCTGAGTGTAGGCTACACTATTGCACCATTGCTTCGTTTTGCTCAGAAGCATGGCCTTGACGTCCAAGGATTCTTCTTGGATAGGAAAAAAGGCTTAGAGAGGAGCGGAGCAAATCACACAGTTGCAGAAGCTTACCGTTACTGCCGCTTCAAGTCTTGCTCGGCTTGCATGTGCTCAAGGAACTTGCTGAGGTAATCACATGCCGCCGAGCAATGCGAGTGGCCAGCCGTTTCCACGGCCCGGATGCGGCGCTGCTGCTGCGTGCTTGCGGCGTCTGGGAGCCGAAGGTGGCCATCTGGCTCCGGTTTGTGACCGCGGCAGCGAGTCCGCAGTAGGAGATTTTGGCTGTGATGTGACTGTGACTGCTCGTTTGCGCCATTTTCCTTTCTACCGTGCTTGAAAGGAAAATGCAAGTTACCCAAGTGCTGATTTCCCCCTTTTGATGTCGTGTGTGTGTGGTCAGAGGGCTCTGGTCGGTGTGTCCTCTGATCTTGGGCCCAGAGAGTCAAAACTAGTCAGCCCATGTGCTGCAGGCTGAGATGGGTCTGCTGCGAATGAGATACTGTTCTCCACACGACGGCAACGAGGCGCTTGCTGCGTTGCCTCTACACGACATCCTCATCTCAGACCAGGGGAGCCCGCTCTACTGCATGACTTGCAAAAGCGAGATGAAGTGCCTGCAGCAGTGCGACATTTTTGCGGCTGAACCTCTTGCTGGCGCGGGCTTGCAGGCAGACGAGTCTCTCAAGCAAATCAGGCCATTGCTGCAGGTGCTGAAGCCAAGGCCCGCGCTTTGTTTTTGGTTGTTTTGCAGGGTGCCCCCCCAACAAACATAGTTATTTATGGTATGGTTCATCGCAGGTGTGCGCTGCTGGAGGCATCCAAGTGTACTACCCGGCAGCGGACGGAGATTGCTGAGGCCCTGCGTGTGCGAGGAGCTCACACAGTGTTCACCGAAGACAAGCTGCTAGTGCTTTCCCAGCCGAACTTCATGGAGTCCAAAGAGTTTGGCGAGTCCCTTGCTGACTGCTTGTCCAAGCCGGCAATGAGCAGCCTGATGTCGGAGAAGGTGCCTTTTGTCGATGTGAGGGCATGGAAGCGCTGCTCCAGGGCAGCGGCAGCAGCAGCAGCGCCAGTGGACTCGGCAGCGGCAGCAGCGTCGGCAGCAACGCCAGCAGCGCCGAAGGTCGTCCGCAAATTCCTGAAGAAGGAACAGGTCAAGGAAAAGAACAAGGCGCAGGTGCAAGGCATTTTGGAGATGAAGCTGCAAGCGTTGCAAGGCAGCCCGCAGAGCAGTTTTGCCGTAGACATTGGTGCTGGCAAGGAAGCCGGGCAGCTGTGCCAGCTAGGCAGAAAGCTGTTTGATGTGGCAGTAGTTTTGAACGATGGCAAAGGCCGTCCTTGTGTTCGTAAACTGATCTTTCAGGAGATGCTAGAAATTCGAGGCTGGCCAGCCAAGACTTTGAACGCATGCCTATCTGGCGGCAAGCTTTGCTTGCCCCCCGAGGCTGGCCCATTTGTTGCCGTCATGCAGGCTCTTGCCAAATTTTGCCAGGTGAGCTTGCCAGCTTGAAATTGCTCAAATTGAAGCGAAAGAAAGCATAGCGCTTGCCGCACAGGCAGCTATAGTCTGGCTGTGTCCACTCCTCCTTCGGCCAGCCATTTGCACTTCTAAGGCACAGAGCTAGGCTATTGCTACTGCAGCATCATGGCCCGCGGTGCACGCAAGCGGCCGGCGTCTGCAGCAAGCAGCGCCAGGGCCAGCTCAGAGCTCAACCTCACTGAGGCGCCATTCAGCTTGCGGGAGTTTGTGGCTGAAGTGCTGAGCAGACTGCGATTGGCTCGTGCTCAAAAAGGGCCGCTGGTCTTGGCCACTTCCTGCAGCGGAAGCGGGGCAGCGAGTCTGGTGGTGAAGGAGATTGTGGGTGAGCAAGGTGTCGTTGAGGTCTTCGCCAGTGAGATGGCCGGCAGCGCTGCCCATGTACTCATGAAGAACACAGAGCCGCAGCATGTGTTTGAGGATTGCATTCAGGTTAGTGACGCGAAGTCGTCCACTTGCTTCTGCTTCAAGCACAATAAATGCTGCCACATCCCGGCCACGGCTCAGGATTTGTACATCTCTGGCTTCACTTGCAAAGGGAATTCCGCCATGAACCAGGGTAGATTCGAGCAGAGCCCCGAGCTCTCCCAGCACTTCAAGATCTTCGAGGCGAATGTAGCCCACATCACCAAGTTCCGTCCAAAGGCATTCTTGCTTGAAAATGTCACAGGCGTGTTGAAAGCTACCTCAAAAGAAGACCCTACACCCTTTGTAGAGGTGCTGATGGCAAAGCTACAGCAGATACCGGACTACAGTGTGTCCTATGTCACGGTGGAGGCCAGGCCTCTTCCTACGGCAAGGCCCCGTGTGTATTTTTTTGGTCACCGGCTGGCCTCGGCGCCTGCAATCGCATCAACAGTTCAATTTCTTCAGCAAAGCCTTCGGCAGCTTCCCCTGCACCACATCAAGGCCTTCATCAAATCAGAAAAGGAAAGCTCTCCATGGTGGCAAAGCTTGTCCAGCGCAGAAGCACAGACAAGCTGTGAGAGTGACCGCAGGCATTTGGAGGAGCAAGCGGCCTATGCCGCTGCAATGCAGGCAGGTCGGGAAAAAGCCAAGGAACGACTCAGCAAATCGGTTGAGTGGCCATGCGTTGAAAAAAGGGAAAGCCACCTCCACGGCGCGCCTGGGACAGCGTGGCAAAAAGCGCAGATTGACCTCTACCATGCCATAGTTTCAGAAGCTGCGGAGACAGGCGCAGGCAGCTCATACCAAATTGCTGATATCTCACAAAGCACGGGCCGCGGGCGTGTGAATCATGACGGGTTGCTCCCGACAATCACATGCGGCAGCAAGCTGTGGGATTACGAGGAGCACAAGTTCTTGAGCCCATCAGTGCTCATGTCAGCACACGGGTACAGCTGCTACAGCTTCCACGGTCTGAGCTGGGCAGAGGCGCAGACAGTTGTTGGCAACTGTATGGCAGGAACTTCCCTTGCTATTGCATTGGCCCCTTTGTTGAAGTCATTAGGGTGGCTCTCGGAGTGAGATGCAAGAGCCGCAAAAGTTCCCACAGAGCAGTTTTGTGCCTTTGCCGAGGAACAAGCAACCACACGCGCAAGAGATTTCGAAGCCTGGCAAAAGTGGTGGTGCGTGCGCTGCCAAGGTGTTCCACAAGCCTCCAGTAGCCAGCCCGGATGGGAACTTGCGGGTTGACTTGTTGATGCGCGCATGCACGTGATTTTTCAAGCCTAACCACTCCAAGCGTCCTTTTCGCCACCAGCAGCACACTTACCCTGTCATGCGCGAATGCCCTTCCCTGCAGGAATGCCCTGTAGGCTGGCTCGTGAAACCCCTTTGCCACGGGGACACGCATGCTGGTTGAGACAGGGACAGGGGTCCCCGGATGGTTCCCGAGCGTGTTTAATTAGACCAAGGATGCCCTTAACTGTAAGGATGTCCTTAGCTGTAAGGATGCCCCTGGAAGCAGGGATGCCCCTCTTCACCAGGATGCCCCTCTTCGCAGGGATGCCCCTCTTCGCAGGGGTGCCCCTCTTCGCAGGGATGCCCTGCGACGTAAGGATGCCCCTCGATGCAGGGATGCCCCTCTACGCAGGGATGCTCCTTTTCGCACGGATGCCCCTCTTTGCAGGGATGCCCCTCTTCGCAGGGATGCCCCTCTTCGCAGGGATGCCCTTCGACGTAAGGATGCCCCTCGATGCAGGGATGCCCCTTGACGTGGGGGTGCCCCTCTACGCAGGGATGCTCCTTTTTGCACGGATGCCCCTCTTCGCAGGGATGCCCCTCTTCACAGGGATGCCCCTCTACGCAGGGATGCTCCTTTCTGCACGGATGCCCCTCTTCGCAGGGATGCCCCTTCGCAAGGGTGCCCCTTTTTGCAGGGATGCCCCTCTTCGCATGCCCCTCTTCGAAGGATGCCCCTCTTCGCAGGGATGTCCCTCTTCGCAAGGATGCCCCTCTTCGCAGGGATGCCCCCCGACACAGGGATGCCCCCCGAAGCGGGGATGCCCGTGGCTGCGAACATGTTGGGATGACCTGTGACGCAAGCTCAAAGGGGTCAGACGCCCGCGTGCTGGTGTTTGCCCATTGCCGCCCGCGATTTTGTTTGAAGTGGTTCAACACGGTCCTGTTTTTCTGCAATGCCCCCGGCTCCAAATCATCTTTTTGAGGGTCCGATCAACATAAGGCAGAGCAGCTTCAGCCGAATGTAGACTTGTGGCTCACAGTTGGTTTGTCAAGGTGCGCAGAGCTACTGCCAAGAACGTACGCAACTTGCATGACCTGTCATGTCCTTGTAAAAAGCACACGGCTGTGCGCTGCGAGTATGCGTGCGAGACACGACACAGAGAGAGAGAGATAGAGAGAGACGGAGAGAAAGATGTTGAAGCAAGGCACTTAGCACGCGCCTGGGTGCGATTCGGCAGCAAGCAACATGGGGAAACGGGCTTGCAGTCAGCCACTCTCGAACTCGGATGAATGTGCGTTTCAACAAAAGAACCCAAAGATGCCGGGCTCCACAGCTCACAAGAAGTACGAGCAGTACAAAATGGCAAGAACAGTCGGCGAGGCAAAAGCCCTTGGAGCTGACAACAGATCCCTTGCCTACGACCGGTCCAAAGGCTTCATGCATGTCTCCGTGGAAGGAGTTGCCAAGAAGCTCAAGAAGGAAACAGAAGATGCAGCTGACGATGCAGCTGAGGGTGCAGCTGATCCGCCAGCCCTTCCGGTGGCAGACCTTCCGGTGGCAGCCCTTCCGGTGGCAGCCCTTCCGTTGGCAGCTGCGGAAGCCCTTCCGGTGGCAAAAGCCGATGTCCGCGGCGGAATGCGAGCACGCCTGTACAAGGCCTTGCTGCCCCACGAGTTCACCGCAGCACTGCCTGAACCTTTAAGCCTCCGAACATTGGCCTCTTCCCTTGCTCTCTTGGAGAAGCTTGAGGATGAAC